AGCCGAGTTCAAATTCCAATCGAGTTTGTTACATTCACTTACACACAAATACCCTTAGCAAAGGTATGAAATTATCTCTTCTCTCTATCCCCAGCTATAAGCTGAATAGCAGAACAGAATAGCCTTGAATGACAACCATTCTACCGCCTAAAGAAACGGCAACCTACTGCGGGAAAATCTTCTGCTTAGTCAATCGAAAGAGCAGGTATCAGGTGTGGCGCTTAACTGACTGATGTCATATAGAGGCTAATGCACTATGCATCTCTATTTATGGGCAGGAGTAGTAACCGGTTCTCGAAAAGTCTATTTTGAAATTTGAAAGATAAAGCAACCAAGACCACTAGACAATTGAGAACAACCTCAATCGGAGACCTTCTCAGCGGACAAAATTACGCGGCCTGAAGGCATTTCCAACTGGGCTCCACCTGCAAGGTTATGTGATAATTTCTGACTTGAAGTGGAGCGACTACAGCAAATCAGTAGCTGCATTTACCGAAGGAAAGTTGGGACACTGTGTCATGCCAGAAAATCTTTCTCGTTAGAGTCCATCTTGCACATTTACAAATCTTCCATTCGTTAAATACTGCTGTCATATCTGATCTGGTGCTCCTGCTATTTATCTCGAGGTTCCTGACAAAATCCAAAGAAGGATCTACAATGTAATCTAACCTGACTTGGCATCTCGACTTCAGTCATCTTCTCACCGACGGGATGTGGCTTCCCCCTGTCTTTTCTACAAATATTTTCATGGCGACTGCTCTGACGAGCCTTTTTCATGGTGCCCCGGCTACTTTAGTTTAAGCTTGCTACTAGATTGCCATGTAGGTTTAACCGCCATTTTTACACCAACAGTTTCTTTTCTCGCACAACCCGCCTGTGGAACTCCCTTTTCGTTTACTTGCATCCCTGATAAATACAATCTTCGAAAATTTAAATGCAACAGTCGCCATCTTCTATCTTTTTGAATCCCGTTCATCTTTTGTAGTTTGCTCAATCCTCCATGTACTCAGTTTTTCTCCCACTTTCACTCTCAAGTAACCCCCTGAGTACTAGTGGCATTCTCGCCTTGCTTAGGGTAAAATGATTAAATTGAAAACTGACCAGTTGCTATATCGCGTATAGTTGGCTGTGGTGCATGTGAGTGGTCATCTTATCAGATGAGGCGTCATAATAGGTATATTGGAATTCGTAGATTTGTACGCCAGTGTCATTGGCGTACTGCTATGTCACAATAATAATAACTTTAATACATTAAAGGACGTATCGCTGCTGAGTAATGGTTAACAAGTTACTTTTGCAAATCGTTATTGCTGAAGTGAGTTCGATATCCAGTGAGTGCCACAAAACTTTTAATCTTGTGTTCAATTAATGTAAGTTTATTAAATATCCGTTATTAGACATTAAAAATAAACTGACCGTACTTTCCGGTCTTGATAGAATTCAAAATCATTTACTCAGTCCTGTAGGGAAATACTTTCCACTCTGCAAATTCCCACAGACAACGTTGCAAGCCTGTTGTTACATTATAACTATTTCCATGGCAAATGTTCTTTTGTTCCATCTGCTCAAACCTCTATAGTTAGATCATGGCCTGTCATTTCCACAGAGGCGAATCACCCACATCTACTACATGTTTCAAATGTACAAAAAAAAAAAAAAAAAAAAAAAACCCACACAGAGATCTTTTTCCCTAAGAAGTAATACTGCGTGGATCCTCCCCTGAACAGAAAAATCTTGACCTCTTCAAGTCAAGGGCCAGTCGTAATCTATCCTCTGTATTCTCATAGTATTTACTTCCTAACAGCTTCTCCATTCATATCACACACTTCATTCACCATTATCATTTCGACTGTAACCAGGGTCGAATTACCCTTTAGGCTAGTAATGGTTGTGCAGCCCGGAGCCCGTCAAGCTTTTTGTAAAGTAAAGGTTTTAATTTTCTAGATGTTATAACTTTTAAATAGTTTCATAAACAGAAATGAAATCAATATGGCAAGCTTATATTTCTTTGACTTTGTGTTTCAAGTGGATAATATGTTTGATATTCGTTCGGAATGTTTAAATCTTAAAAATTTCTTATAAGCAGTGATTTTAATTTGTCTATATATTATAACTTCTAAATAGTTTCATAAACTCTAATGATATCTATATTGCAAACTCATATTTCTTGTTTTTATGGTTATAATGGTGGATATAAAAAAAAATCTTATTTTTTTTACTACGGTTTTGTTGAAATATGTACTAATTTGGTTTGCAATAAATAGTAAAATAGTGGTATTTCTTAAAGAACATTTTTATTGACAAACAAAAGATAGCTAATTTAGTTTTATTAAAGAATTTGCAGTAAGTTTACTTCAAGCTATGTGAATGTCGGTAAAATATATCACGAATAAAAATTATACAAGATAAGTGCAAGTTAGAAGGTGACTTCGTTTGAGAGGAGGGGCTCATAATTTCATTAGCCAAAGAGCCATTAAAAGTCATAATCCGGCTTTGACTGTAAGTTTCTACCTTGGGTAGTTCTCGAGATTTTTATTGGGTAAAATATAGTAAAAACAACTTTATTTTTACTTTTTATTAGATGAAGTATTAACTGTTATTATTAATTTTTTCGTAAGTATTTACTTTCATTTTGATCTTCGGCGCAAGTACAAGTGTTTTATATTTAACCCATAGCTGGGAGGAGAAAAATGGATTCATTTATTTTTAAGCGTATTTACCTGTAAGTGAATATAGAAAGTCGAGTGAAATTAGAAAGCCGAGTTCAAATTCCAATCGAATTTGTATTCGGCTTTCTAATTTCTTATACAGAACCACCATCCATTATACCACCATATTTTTGATTTAAAGAACTAATCGTGCAGTGGTGGTAGGTGTTCCTTATATCTGATAAATCTTTCATTTTGTAAAGAAGCAAATCATGTAGATCATTGCATTTAATGCCCATCGTTTTGCTAAATACGAGATGGTCAGCGTGCAAATGACTGATTTTACGTAAAAACTGTATAAAATATCAAAATAATCGTAAATACGTTTCTTTGCTCAGATTGAGAGAATTTTTGGAAGTGGTGTCATAGATGTAAGCTGCACCGTAATTTACTTTGAACACATAATCGAGGCTTATAAAATTTCCAAAAATTCACACGTAAATAACCCTATCAGTTTTGACGGGTACTATGCTAACAGGATTGTCAGTATTGGCCTTTCAAAGCCAGTTAACGTTTTTGGTAATTCTCTATATTTCTTTTATTTAAGAGTCATCGAATGTATCTACAGTTTCTCAATAAGTTAAATCAGTAGAGTAGCAAATATGAAACAAACTATATCAAATTCATCTTTTGGTCTTTTGAAAACCATGAAATGTGCGAGGATTCGGTGAATGATGCATTCTGACAGAATTTAGACAAAAGCTCGCAAAAACTGTCTTTAATAATAGCTGAAATCGGCACATTTCCAGCTACGTTCATAGCTAACAAGGTTGACATGTACCTAGTAACTTAACACGGACACGATGAATGATTTATCCTTCAGTAAAAATAAAATGACTATAGCCCATCTGATCAAACTGTTGTTCCTTACATCCGATATTCCTTAAATCGACGGATACTAAACCGAGATTTTATTGTGATGTATTTATAAGTTTATAATAATTCTCTTGCAAGATTGTCAAGTGTTCGTAGTTTAGAGGTTAAAGCATCTGATGTATTCAGTGATGTTTAATGTCTTCAACTAGGATTCCTTGATACTTGTGTTTGGTTATCACTTGGAGCTTATATTTCGGATTCTACAATATCTAGCCACTCCCGTAGATTGAAGGCTAAATAAAAGCTGCTATAATAAAAAAAAAGCAACTAAAAAAAGTTAAGATGAAAGTAATTAATAAAGACCTCCCGTTTTTGATCGTTTCATATTCATAATGGGAGGAATGCCTTTGGTATTATTTAAGAAGAACGTTAATATTCATTTGTGAATTGTTTGAATTGACTCAGTTACAACTGTCAGCGACCGTAAACAGTGAAGTGTCATTTTTTTCTTTTAAGTAAGCGACCCGAAGAAACGGCTCTTAAATAAATGACTGACGCATGTGCAAATAATTAGATTTATAAAAAAGCTATCACAAAGTAACATCTGATCTAGTTTAATTTTAAGTGTAAGATTTTTCGAGTTTCTTTGGGTAGTGTAACTGATATCGGCACGGAAATTGAAATTGGGGAGCCGAGTTCGAATTCGAGGATAGAAAGTTGCACTTACTTTCGCACAAATGCCTGAGACAAAAGACAGAAACCCGTCTCTTCCTCTTCTGCACAGCTGTAGGTTAATAACAGTGTAGACTGGGCGCTTTGGTTTTTGGTGGCAACCAGTCTGAGAGAAGGAACTTTCTTCCAACATTTGAGATCGTACAGATTTATCGTAACCATCTTTAAATATCATTAATTCCCAATCCGCTCCCAAAAGATTTTTCTACTCGGACACATTTGCGTTGATCTCGACCACTTTTAAGGTCCTTGATCTAACTGAAATTTCTGATTTTCTCTTTAAAAAAATAAAAGTTTAATTTAGTGAACACCAAGTTTCTCTTGACAGTCTTTAGTTCGAATCATGCATTATGTACCTTACCATTCAATTGCCCTTAGTTTAGGTTTGAGCGATGGGCAATTTCTATGAAGGTTTGAAAATATCTGTGTAAAATTCTCGATACTCGTGTAGGATACCTAACGCCATGCACACTGAATTACCCCTAGTTTCTGTCCACATAAGCATAATATGCTCTGTCTTTCAAATGGTTCGTTGGTACAACTCATCCTTCGAAAAAAAAATTAATGAATAAAAATACCAAACTTCTTTTCATGTTTAGTGTTGTCGAACTCTTTAGTTTCTTGTTAAACTATGCGAAATGTTTTGCTAGCTTGTGTCGGCTTCTTTCTAGCAGGCTGTACACAGCCGGGGAACGGTTGCGTACCATTGACTACAGCTAACGACCGTAGAGTCACAGAAGCGATATGGGGGCAAGAAGTGGCATTAAAAGCGAAAGTAAACGGGTAGGAAAAAAGAATTCAGAAGAAAAGAAGTTCTGAGATGTTTTCTGCATAGCAGAAGTTTCGTTTAAGATATTTCTTGTTTACCCAGAAAACTCAAAGACTGGGTGTTTTGCCAGATGCCAATGCCGCCGTAGATCCAAATCAAATATTTTGGGTTGGTTAGAATCACGTTATTATTCCTAGCGTGAAAAAAAAGTGTTAGGTGCTTCTTTTTCCTGTATTTGATTTGCACACAACGAAATACAGAACAGTATAAATACATAAGGTGAATCAATAAATCGGAAATTATAAGTTGAATATTGATCTGAAATTTTCATAGTATAATGTTTGTTATTAAAGAATAAGTGTTTCATTTCGGTGCATTGGAAAGAAAAGTAATATTAGAAAATATGAATTCAAAGCTGTACGGAGCCTTGGCGAAGCACTTACTTTACAGTGAAAGGAAAGGATCGTTCGCATTGGCTTGATGATCCTGACTGCGATCGACAAACATTTTATCTATCTATCTATCTATCTATCTATCTATCTATCTATATAGTGTCCTTTAAAAATGTAGTCACTCTTAAAC